GCAACGATAATCCAATCTGTGGAGAATCCGTTGAACAGATTTCGGGCTTATCCCACCAACTTTGGCCACTTCTGCAGTCGTTAATCTGGGATCCATTTCGATGCCGTGTTTCCTGAACTGCACGATGATTGTGTTGACTGTCGAAAGCGGGATTCCCAAATTCTGCGAAATTTGCCATTGCCTTATTCCACCATCTGCTTGAACAACTATTTTTCCTCTAACAAAATCTGACAATTCGAAAAAACCTTGAGTTCTAGGCTTGTTGTAGCACAAGTTAATTAGTGTGCGGACCATTTTCATTTATATAGTGCTCTGTGAACACAAATTAGTTAGCATAAATCAGTTAAATGACGAAAAATTACTTGTGACCACTCAGTGTACATTCAGCATGAAACTTAACAATATACAAAAATCATTTTTACCAGAAAGTGTTTTGAATACGCAAAATCAAATCATACGACAAACAAAACTGGTAATAATTTACTATTCGTAGTTTATTCTTTACTTTTTACTCATAGCTGTAGAAGGATAATTGATATTAAAAGATTAATTAAAGTATTTGTCATAAACTTAACTGTATTTCTAAGCACTGGGCTCGATTCTATTACCACCTAGTTTTTAATTCTAATAAATTGCGCAGAACAAAAGGTTTCATTGCAAATTATAAGTGTCATTTTTATTTCAATTCCATATAATTAAGGTTGTAAATGGCAACTTTTTCCCCCAAGTTTAATTTAACAGAAAACATTTGTAATATCTGAGATGTGCTTATATTGTTATGACAGCGGAAGTTACGCGACGCTGGGAGCATGCGCGCTGGAGTTTCTCGAGGAATCATGAATTTGCCCGGCAACTCTAGTCTGATCGAGACGCCCTCTTTTTAGTATACAAGCCTGGCGAGAAAAACCAGCGCGATTGAAGAGATGGATAATTGAGTCAAGTGAACAGTAGGCACCGTAAGTAAAGTATGTGAATCACTGTGATTTATAGCGTGTGTTATAAAAGTTGTTAAGTATATTACAAAGTATGTATTAAGAAAGAATAAACTAGTTTTAATCAAGAAAGGACTTGTATCGCTGAAGTTTCTCAGAATGAATTTCTACGGGAAATTAATAAACAAGCAGATACGTAACAATATCTTGCTCTGAAATTTATTTCTGTTGTTCCATCGTTCCTACAACTCAAGACAATCGCATCGTTGTGAAACACATTTTTACTGAGAGTGGCATCCTCTCGAACGACGGGCTTTTTCCAGAGAAGAACGACATTTAGGGCCTATATTATCATAAACTAGTATGTCTATAATGCAGCAGATGAACTCAAGTGGTCATGGAAAATGGAAAATGAAGCAAGAAATTTCCCAGAAATGGACGGAAGTCACAGATAGGAGGAAGAGGTCAACAAACAATAAAGATCTATTCTGATTACCTCTGACCATAAATAGATGTAAAAGATACGTATCGATGCATATAGACGTAAATACATCGATGTAAGAAATATTATAAAAAATATCAAACAGACCGCGGTTACAAATTATCTAAAAACGATCTACTGATTGTAAAAGAATTGCGCTCAACAAAACATTAAAGTGAAGAATTACTAAATAAACATATATATAAGTGCAATAACTTACACGTTAATATTGAATTTGATTTATTTCACAAATAAAATCTATTTCCAGTATAGAGCAACTTGCATTGTTATTTCTTATAGATTAGAGAATGTTGTATACACACCTGAATAATTATTCCTTTCTTCTTGTATTCTAATTGAATAGCACGAGAAAGATAATCAACGTACGACTAAGAAAGAAAAAACAACATTTGAAATAAAAGAATAATGACCCATTACTATATCAAAGATTGAGATAAATAATTTTCTTTTGCCTTAAAGAGCTATCTAATAATTTAAATCTGGCTGCCTCAATCAGTATGGAAATAATATATCGTGTTTGATTTTCATAAATATCAGTTTCTCAGTTTTATTCGGAATAATCAAACACTAGACCCAGGTAATTACGCGATATTCACTACTTTCAAGTTGAACAACTTGAAAATTTAGTATGGAAAACTTAAGTAATCAAATTCTTTATACAGATACAAAACGATTCATACAATTGTGATGCTTACGGCATCTAGAAGTGTTAACAAGCTGCTAGTAAAGAATGAGGGTGTAAAAACCGAAGAGACTAAATTTCATGAAATTTAATTACGAAATTATGTTAGTTTAAACTGAATGAAAACTAAAGACAAAACTTGGTGAACTCGACAATATACCACATATCAATATACAGATGCACATCAATTCAGTTATGCCCAGAAAGAAAAACAAAATAAAAAACATTAGATAACAAATGCTATGATATTTACGAGTCACAGAATACTTGACAGGCAAAAGTAACAAACATTTTATTCTATATTAATATTATGTGGTTACTTTAATCCGTACATGTCACATTTAATATTTATAGGTTCACATACACTGATGAAAAGCAAAGAATTCAAAACAAAGAACGGGCGTTTAATGAATATATTCGTACATTAACAGTTCTACGTTTTCATAAAATGATTATTCTTGAAAATAGCAAAACGTTTGTTTGTTTTACACCAAAGCCACATTGGGCTATCTATCGTGTCTGATGCGGGGAATTGGACCCAGGATTTTGGCGTTGCAAATCCGTGGACTTACTGCCATCCCACCTGGGAATTATAGCAAAATGAGAATTTTTGCCGAGCAGTAGGTTGTCAGTAGGGCACTTGGTAATATTAACTTAAATTATTTTACTTTACACGAAGCGTTACGGTAATTATTTAAACGTAGCTTTCTGTAGCAAAATGGAATACTTAGATATAGCGACAGTATTTGATTTTCATAAATGTGATAGATTCTCAGTTCTATTCTGAAAAGATTAGACATTAGACCCAAATGATTACATTATATTTACTCACTTCAAATGTAACAACGTGTTTGCTAATATTGCGACAAGTTAGCTTTATATGCTAATATAAATATATATATATATATATATATATATATATATTAAAAAAGTTGAAATATTTCTTAATTTAAGTGGTTGTAAATAACAATACAAAAAACAACAACAACAAACAAACACGACAGCAAGAACCATAGTCTCCAATGAAATTAACAGCCATGAAAGATTACCCAATGGTGAACACGTAACAAGCTGATACTTTGCAAACTTATTTTTCAAGAAGTCAAACTAAAAATACCAGCAATTAGTAATTGGAAGTAAACATCAAAATATTGGAAAAACTATATTTAAACCACTTATTAATATACGTATCAAAATAATAAAACCTCAAAATATCACACACAGCCCTATACATGAAAAGAAGTGGTTATATTTTCTTATTTCTATACCTTACTGGCACTATAAGAGCTGAGGAGAGGAATAGGGTAAATCCCCAGCAATGATGATACATTAATGACAACTCCGCATTGTCGCTCTTCCATTTGTGGTAGAATCATTCTCATCATCTGAAAAAACATAAATTAAAATAATTTACTTTGTTTTATGTTCGGAATCTAAAATTATTTTTAATGAGTAGGATTATGCGTATGCCATATTATAGATTAGACACACACACATTTATGATTTATTATACAATTATGGTTGAAACAGCATATATGAAATATTTTTCACTTCCGAATTTAATTATATTCAAGCATTAAAATGCATCATATTTCTTAATTTACTTGCTTTTAAGTGCTCTACAGCAGGCGTTCCCAAACTATGTAATAGCAGAGCAGTAACGTGCACGAGGAGGTGACTGGGTGGATTCAAGACCATGCCTTCCTTCCTTTTCTCAGTCATAGAAAATTATCCACAACTATTAAAAGATACGCCTGATTCCACACCTAACTTACTACGAGTTAATATGTAAAAAAAGGTTACAGCCTTAAAATGAATGATAGAGACTTGTAGGTCATTACAGTAAAAATGTTAAGTGTTAATTTCCAAGAATTTACTGTTTAGTTTTAGGTTTTAAAAATGTGTTTACAAGACCGATTAAATAGGAATAAAAGATCTGTCCGTTTCTTATGACTTACTACCCTATATGTAAGAGAGGCAACCCACAATAACCTAAAATCTCTTCTAAAACCTCCCACCCCACACCAAAAACAGTTTTGATTTACCATACTTCAAAAAGCATCCCTTTTTTGTCAACGAGTTCCTGCCCCTTTTAATGAATTCAACTATGGCAGAGTAAAGAGAATTTTAGGTTGTATCTATAGAAATATTAATTAGAAGTCTAAAGGAGTTAGAACTTCATTGGGTCATTAGTTAGTCCAGATTTCAAGTATTATATTCAGTACTAAGCTCCTTACCTTAAAAAGGACATTGAATTATTGGAAAGAGTTCAAAGAAGGGCAATTAGGATGATAATTGGGATGGAAATGTTATACGAAAATGGGGTAAGATCTCTGAACTTGTTTTCTCTTGAAAAAAAGAAGAGCTAATAGGGATTTGATTGAGGTTTCAGATTATTTAAAGAACTGATGGTGTTGATGCATCATTTTTTTTTCCTTACTTAATTGTGAGAGGACTAATGGAAAAATTTACATTTTAGCGGGGTAGGAGCCATCTTCAGTTGAGACAGCTTTATTTCTCTAAAAAGTTGATAAGCCTTTGGAATGGGTTGCCTTCAGATATGGTTGATGCAATTAATTTAAGGGAGTTTAATGTAAGGCTTATTAAATAGTGAATGATGGGACGGCCTGGATGGACTAACAGGTCCGTTGTTTTCCTTAAATTATATATGTAAAAAATACCTTAGACAACCTGAATAAGGACCTAATGATTTAATATATTTTTATATAATAGCCACTCTGAGGTACCCTTATTTCATTGCAGTTTGTACTTCTGAATAACCTCAAGTATAGACAACGTATATATAATATTTTCATTAAACAAACTTAATGCTGTAAATGTTGCATTATCCAGTGTGATAGAAATATTAAAGAAAAAAAATCTACATGTGCTTACAAGATTCTTGATAAGTCAAAAATAAGTCTTACCCTAGTACAAGCTATAACGTTGACTCTAATAATTTTCTCCATAGTCTGAAATAGAAATATTTTGCTCAATTAAACAACGCACACTCAAAGGAAAATACAAACTAAATCTCATTTCCAAAAAATGTCTATTTTTCTTCTTTTCACTAAATTACTGTATCCGCCAGATTGTAGTTAACTATTTTTTGAACATTTAAGTACATCGTTTAAGTACCAGAAAACAAGCTAGCTGTTCCCGATTGAGACGTAACTAAATCTACCAGAATAACACTTAACTAAAACTGCCCACTCAGCTCATGAATATTAAGTAATCCCCTGCTAACGATTGTATCCGAATGTTTACCTACGGCAAGAAGTACCAAAATAAACACGGTTAAACCATGCGTATTAATAACATTGTATGATACACCAACTTGCTTAGAATCCAGATATCCATTTTTGGGGTTTCGATACTATTTGGCTTGAAACATCTCCGTATTTTACAAAAATTTGTACGGGCACCCACATCCAAAATGCATATGAATTTCAAAGGCAAATCACTGAATATCTGTTTCCATAATCACTTTTTAACAGAAAATTTTATAACGTTTTTTACATTAAAACAATGTTTTGCAGTTGTAAGCACTTACCAATGCGAACTACAGTAGTTCTTTCTTAAAAATTCATTACATTTTTCGTTTCAGTCTGATACAAGTATAAAGGTAGCTCATACACATTAAATACGGTAATACGGCTAAAAGTTTATAATGATATCAATAAATATTTGAGCACAAGCACTTAAGCCTGATACACAGTGGCGTATTGCTTGGGAGGAAAAGTATTTATGACCTGTAAAAATATTATCCTAGTGTACAAAATGAAGAATTAAATGTTTAATATCAAAAACGAAAATTTTATCTTAAGCATGTTTCAAAGACGTCAATTTGATTTTTAAAAATGTCTTATAACAAAAAATCTTACCTCCATGGCATTAGGAATCAAGTGAAAATATTCTGGGTAAATGAAACTCATTCCAACGTTGTTGACTGTAAAAGAAGTATGAAAATGGTTTCTTATTCATGACAGACTTAAGTCTTATTTTATGTACTGTTTTTTAAATTTGAAAGAAAATTGCACAATAAGTTGTTAATAGTGTTTCAAGCTGTATGTTCATTCTTATAGATTTAAAGTTTGCTAGCGAGCGCATGAGGTTAAGATCTACTATATTCGACGAAAATCTAGAATATAATAAGATGTACAACTATATAATATTCAAATATCTATCTCTAGAATTGTAGAATAAACATTAAATATCAAAATATTTATTTTCAAGAGGAAAATACAGGAAAATTATTCGTTTTTATAATTCCTAAAATTTCATATCGATCCGTTAGACTTCGTTAAATGGTCAATCTGAGAAGAAAAAAAGAATTTTTTTGTGTGTGTGAAGGAACTTCACGGAAAAACAACGCATAAAAAGAGGAAAAGAAACGTGCTTCAGTAGAAACGTAAAAGAAGGAAATAAAATAATTTATTATTGTTACACGGACTGGACATTGAATTATTTTCAGACAAGCTGAGTTACCCGTCCCTTTTCCGGGTTATGAGCTTAATGTGGGGGTGGATTCTATGATAAACAACACAAAAATTCCAACTTTCACATTATTTACAACATAACATTGCTATTACAATATTCATTATTACCTCAACAAAAGTTTTGTATAAGCTTTAAGAGCTCATCATGTATATACATAAAACATGGTATACACTGTGTGATGGTCAGGGTGATTTTGTAGGAAGAGGTAGCGGATAAATGTAGTGGTGGTAGGTGTGCTTTCTGTTACCCGCTCTCAACATCCAGTTTTTAATGTTCTTCCACAGTGTTTCACGTTTGACGGGCATTGGCCGCAGAAGTGTCTTACGGGCCGAAGATGAAAGGTCAAGGGTTAAAGTATGAACTGGGTATACCTCAAGCAACGGCTCTTCATCAGCCTTATTGTGGTTGTTGGAGTAGAGACTTCAACAGAGTTTATGTCTTATTGCAATAGTGGCGGCCATTGTTTTTCATTACATTGCTAGTGAACTCTCCGAGATATACAAGATGTTTGTGTGCTCTCCCCTCACAGTGTGTGTGAATGTTGTGTTATAGAAAATTTAATTTTTTTTTGTTGTTGTTGTTGTTGTAAGGACGAAGCGCCATTTGTGAGAGTAATTTACGTTAACTTACGTCAAAGATAATAAATGCTCAATAATAGCAATAATGGGGATGGAGGAAGTTGTGAACCCCCCTATTAACATGCCCCTTGTTCCAAACTATCATCCCTCAAAATTAATTTGAGATTGACCTAGCGACCTAGGATTAATTAGATCACGGACAAACAGACAGACACACAGCTTTCTGTATTTTATAAGGTATGTATATATCTTATAATGTAAAACCCCGCCAGTGAAAAAAACAACACCATAACAGTATGTCTAAGGGATTTGAATCATGTATATATGCCACATTGCCATGTAATTCATAAAACTCGTAGTGCTAACGGCTATATCATTCGTGAGTGTTGATCGTTTCAAATACGATTATACCGAATAAAAATAAATAAGCCTACCTAAAACTCCAATTTCTAAACCTTGAAGCGCCATTTGGATTTCATCATATATTTCAGATCCATTAGTAAAGTCTACAGATATGGTTTTAGTTTTGATCTTGTGACGTTTTTCTGCAAAATTTCAGATAAAAAAAACACGTTTGTGTACGAAAACGGTTAGAATATTGAAATGAAGACAAAATATTGAATACATATGACAGGTGAAAACCTCATCCTTACCAAAATGTATTAACAGATGAATCTTCCATAAATGACGACAAATGACAGTTAAACGAGTAACTGAGTAAACTGGATGGAAAAATTTTAATGAACGAAAAAAAAAAAAAAAAGCTTCTCTTCAGGAATAAAGCAAACATTCTTAACCTAATCATTGACGTAAAAGAAAAAAAACACTTGCGCCATGTACAAATGTAAAGACCATTTTAAATTCTGATAAGTTTTGTACGAAAACATTCACTAATCATCATGTTAAAACTTTTAAGTATATAAAATTGCTTTTGGTTGGGAAGAAAAAAAAGTTATGGATGAACATTGTTCTTATTTTATGAAACAATTAACGGCAGCTTTTCTTAAAAACAAAAACATAACAATCTAACACATCTTTATATAAATATTTGTCACATTACCTAAATCAGTAGCTGCTGATTCTAACTTCTCCACACTTCTACTGATTAGGGCGATGTTCAAACCTCTAGCAGCCAGCTATAATCAAATGTTTAGTGAAGAATAAAAAATGGACACAGAAATCCGAACTTAAACAATACATAATAACAAATAAAATGTATTGTAGAAAGGTGACCAAGTAAGTTAATTTCAAACACAATATGGTGTGTGTGTGTGTGTGTGTGTGTGTGTGTGTGTGTGTGTGTGTGTGTGTGTGTTTCTATTTAAAACTATTTTCTTGATGGAAGAAGGATACATTTGAAATTTGGCAAGCTTCTTTTGTAGTTAGCCAACAAATAACTATTGGAAAAAAGTTTTGTAGTTGAATGGAGATACAGCAACTGTCATAACTTGTGGCCAACTGAAAGTGATTTCATAAATTATAATCTGGATGGGTGTGATTGTTTGTGATTGAACGAAAGTGACATGTCGTGTTCAGGGCTATTTCAAGGTCAAAGGCCAAACTAATATCTCTGACCATACTGCTAGTGGAATGTGTAAACTATGCAGTGGATAACAAAAATGGATAAAACAAATGGGAAAATGTGGCTTTGTGCTGTGGACTGATAAATTAAGCAAAATAGTAAGTTTTAGTGTTTGGTTTATAATGGTATGGAGATGTTTTTCTGCTACTGAAATTATAAACATTTTGAAAATTGATAATATTATAAAGAAGCAATGTCACAACATTCCATTGTTTGTCACACAGTTCCCAGTTTAATTGACTCATTTTTGTATTTTTGCATGATAACGATCCAACACATACTGGCTTGCTGAATACGGGTTATTTGAAGGATGAAAAAGGCTCGATATAAAACTTACGAAATGTCTAGCTCAAACTCTAGTTACTAATCCATTTATGGCACAAGTATAAGGAAAGATTCCAAAAGAGAAGATAGTTCATGGATGACAAATATGGGAGATCGTACAACAAAAATTGATTGAAATGTCATTGTTGCTTTAAAAGTTTCACAATCAATGCTTGATTGATGCAAGTCGTATACTTACAGTTTATGAATTGATTATACAGCTTATGTTCCAAAATGTTCTTATTTACTTAATAGCTTAATAACACTAATAAAAATGATTATTTTGCAATCTTTCAAACGTTACTGATGCTGCATATATCAAGACATCGTTTGAATAAACACACGCATAGGAAGATCCGTTATTCCATTTCTTGTGAGCTATATTTTATAATTTATTGTTTTGTTCACTAGAGGGAGATTTACACATGATGTAATGATTGTACGAAGTTTCATAAAAGTTTAGGTCTCTGTGGAATCTGGATTTTATGTATTATATTGGCAAATACAATATAAGAATGACAGAAACTGCAAGTTTAATGTACAAGTTTATTGTCAATTAAGAAATTTTAGTGAGATACAGTGAGAATTAGTAAATCTGTCAGTGATTGGGTTAGTGAATTAATGTGTTTATCAATCCATTACCAAGGAAATATTGCAAGTAGCTATTGATTACATTTGCTTATTTAAGTGTACCATTAGTCTCAGAATTTCTGTTGAAACGTTGTTTTTAAAGTTAAGCCTAAATGTGAGCGTAGCCTGTAACATGTATAGAAAGTTATTTAAGAAATAATTTACTGGTGCTACGTGAACTGGACTTTGTATTATTATTATTTTTTTTATACCACGTAATCTTAAGTAACCAACCCAAGATACAACATGCTACAATACTAGTGTCAAAAGTAGTTTTGTTTGGTGAAAATGAAATGGAAAGTTTACAAAATTCTCGTATGACAACATAAGCAGAAAAAAAAGATGGAAAATTTGTTGATGGGGAAACATTAGAATAAAGACTTGAAAAATAGAGCATTAAAAGGAAACCAAGAAGGTGGTTGGATGTTTTGAATTTCGCGTAAAGTTACACGAGGGCTATCTGCGCTAGCCGTCCTTAATTTAGCAGTGTAAGACTAGAGGGAAAGCAGCTAGTCATCATCACCCACTGCCAACTCTTGGGCTACTCTTTTACCAACGAATAGTGACATTGATTGTCACATTATAACGCCCCCACAACTGAAAGGGAGAGCATATTTGGTGTGACGGGGATTCGAACCCGCGACTCGCAGATTGCGAGTCGAGCGCCCTAACCACCTGGCAATGCCGGGCCCGAAACCAAGGAAAAAGAAATGGAAAGTTAAAAGATCAAGAAGAGACGAAAACTTAAGGACTTAGAGATATAATATTCAAGAACAAAAATATATCTAATTGAAGACAAGATCAATGAAGCTATTGGCAATATAAAAATGGATTACAACAACCAGAGTGAAGTACAGAAAGGTTGTAATGACAAAGCTTAATTATACTTAAATTATAAGTATACAAGTATAGAGAAATGTCAATGAGATAAATAAACACGTCAATAAAATAATGAAACAAACATATGAAAAACTTATTGGTAAATGTAACGATAAAATCAGCCACACCTTTTCTGCATCTGCCCAAGAATTTCATCTGTAAAATATGGAATAGGAGAAACTCTTTGGTCTACACCACTATTGCTGTGCAATCTGTGACAGCAGGAACTTCCTGTACTAATACAACTGTGTCACTACCAAATTTAGTTCTTGAAATAGCTGACAATTTCAATAACATAGCCCAATCAATGGACTATGATAGAAAGATAGCATGGAAAGCATAGCAGTCAGTTCAAAATAATTTCCAAATTAAATGGATACTAATCAGCAAGTTATATCTTGTTGTCAAGTTAATAGGACCAGCTTTAATGCCACTTAGCAAGCTCTCAGCAGAGAGCTATAACAACTATTAATCATTGGTAGCTGCCTTACCCAACATGTTCAAGAGACACAACAGAAGCAGAGTAGTGAAGACGAGACCGTAGCCAAACTTGTGGAAGATTTAGAAATGCTTACCCAATTATCTTGTCTAAAGGTTCCACATGAAATGATGGATTAGTTAGCATGTGACCAACTCATGGATGCCATAAATGACATGGACATGAGAGTTACGCTGAAAGAAGGAAGTGTACATCTTTAAAAGAAGCTCTCCAGCTGTTGATGGAACTTGAATCCTTGAAACTCACAAATAAACAACTAAATGCATCATCTAGAAATAGAGTATCGTCAGTTCAAGAAGTACTTAATCATCTTCCCTTGACGATATTCTTGAAGAACTAAAAGGATTAGTAAGACAACTTGTAAGATAGAATGGAAGAAATGAATCACAAGACAATAGGTATTTCATATGTAATTTGAAAGGCATATTACCAAGAACTGAAGACAAAAGCCTGCACAAAATAAAAACTCCTCCCAAGGGGTTGTCAGTGAATGTAAACGTCTAAATGTGGGAAACATGGTTGATACATTCAAAAATGTGAGGAATCAACAGCTGATAGTAAACCAAGGAGAAAATACCCTAAGAATGAGTCTTCGAGCTGAACCAGATCAAAATAGCAACAAAGAGACAGACATTGGCAAAGCTCAGCTGAGAACACTCCAATTCCTCAAACGATATATAAAGTTCATTATTTAAAGAATAAATCAAAATAAAAATCAATAAATTTGATTTATTGATCAAAACATAGATTGGTGCAGCAAACAGTAAATGGACAAAGTTCCAGCAAAAGAAAAACTGAAAGTTACTGTTAATGTGGGAAACTTCTATACACCACATAAGGTGCGTGTGTAATTGCTATCGAGGTAAAGTGAATAATGGGAACTGACTTCATGCAGAAACGTGTATGCAAGGTTAGGGCTATCTCAAATAGCTTCAATCTATGACCAGGACATCTATGTGCACTACATGATAATTATTACACAAGAGGTTGACCTTCCAGTGATTCTTTGTTGTCATCACAAAATTAGGTCTTTATGGCACAAATAAATGTGCCAAACATTTGTCTCTAATTGTTGTTAGAAATACATTAAAAGGAAATGTCACATATGCCGCAAAACATAAAATAAACATACTAACAAGTTAGTCACACGTTTTGCATTATTCAAAAAGGAAAACAAGTTTAAAAATTAAATAAAATTCAAAAATACCTGTAGACCATAAAAAGCTAAAGACATAAAAGCTGGAAAGTTTCACTATTGCCACTCTCATTGTCCATCGTTAAATAAAATATGTCTAAAGTTATGCTGCTGCTGATATTCAGGATAAGGGCAAAAAAGTAAAATGTAGGCAGTTATGACTTAAGCCCCACATTCGCAGATCAGTCTCTCATAGGAGAAAGTTATGAGTTACAAGACTGACTAAAACAACTTTCTTCTTCCAGTACCTATGCAAACTAGATAGTCAGGCAATAACAGTAAGCTTTATTTGGAAAAGCTTGTTGTGAAATTGCTCATCCCAAATCGGCTGTCAGCTGGTGTGAAGCTGTGCCAAGATGACAAGCCTGAAATACATATAAGAAACAGGCAAGGCTGTGGTATCGCCAAAACAGACACATTTTGATGTGGTATCAGTGAATTTCTTTTTTAAATATCCAAGAGAACATTACATAATTTCAAGGCCTGCAAAGAGCTAAGTGAGTCAATATATTGTACATTTCGTGTGGTGTCTAGCTTCAACATGATCCAGAGGAAGGGAATTGGCATATAACTTAGCAGTGAACAAATAATCTGTAAAGGGAATCCTGTGAGCATCCAAAGAACTACAATAAACCACAATACAGCTTGCAGTCATCCAATTTAATACCATTTAGAAATATGGGAATAAAATGATGGTAACAAGCTATGGTGGAATGTAGGAATAGCAGACCATCTATTTGAAACATAAAAAAGAGCTCACAGAGACATCAGGACAGATGGGATGATGTGGTAAGGGTTGTAGCTTTTTAGCTTAATGCATAGAAAGTGTCAAACATCTGAGGTTAAATAGAGAGTTGTAGGACTCAGCATACAAAATGTGGAAAAGTATGGAAAGAGATGAAATTCTGATGATGCACAAGACCCAACATCTTCAAGGCAGAACCCCTCTCTGAACCAAAAACCCATACACTGGTTTATATCAGGTGAATACATGAAATCTCATCAACACAGAACACTTATCCACACC